TTCCCTTCCGGTCATCTGGCTGGGAAACTGTAGTCTATCTACTCTGCTGCCATCAAGGGACAAGTGGAGGAAGGATAAAGAGAAAAAAACAAACCCCTCACTCTTCAGACCACCATTCATCTGGTTATACAGAAGAATTCCCCTCAGAGTTTTAGATGTCTGTTTGCTGCTGCTGCCATCACTGCCACTGTCACAGGACTGCATCTTAGGGCTTGGGGCTTGCTTGGGGGCTGGGGCAGGAGAGAAAACAAACACACAAAAGAAATCAGAGGGTTTCTTCCACTCTTTCAATTTTGAGTAGGAGCTGAGTACTGGCCAGGAACCACAGTAGCAGGAAAAATAACAGGAAGAGTACCTCCGGATTGGTCATGCCTTGAATTGTAGTTTCTTTCCACAGTCTACCTACTACCATTCACTTTTCAGAGTCCTAAGATAGCTGATCCATGCGTTCTGTCCAGAGTTCTTAGGTGAATTCAGTGGGAGCCTGGGGGGAGTGAGCTTACTCTATCTGAATCAAAAACCCTCTGTAAAATGTTTTTGAGTGTTTAAAATTATATCTCATTCATTTACCAAATTCTTATTACTTCATATGTGATAACTTGTAGAATCATTTACTTATAGAATTTTAATAAAATGATTTACAAGAATTCTAAAATCCCAGGATTCAGAATTACCTTATAAGTCATTTAGGCCAACCATTTACCTTTGACAAGTCCTTTTCACCTCCAACAATAGCTAACGATAGCTAAGATTTGACTGTGTGTCTGCCAGTGTATTAAGCTCTTTGCCTACGTTAACTCATTTAATTCTCACAAAATCCTATTAGGTAAATATAATGGTTTTGAGCTCCATTTTACTGATGAGGAAACTAAAGGCTAGAAAGCCTTTCTTCTAAACAGCTGGTCTCTGGATCAGTCACATTCTCATTAATTCGGGAGCCTATGAGGAATGCAGAATCTTGAGTTTCAGCCCAGCCTTTGGAATCAGAATCTGCAGTTTGAACAAGGTCCCCCACATAATTCATTTGCACATTAACTTTTTGAAACACTTGTTTAGAGAATTTATAAATAACTTGATCAACTTCACCCAGCATGTGAGTTTTAAAGCTAGGATAGAACCTGGTTGAATGACTTGAGAGCCTCTGCTCTTAAATACTGTACTATCTTGCTGAATGATTATTCAGCCTGGGTTTGGACAACTCCAAAATTAACATTATGTTTATATTGAGCTAATAAAACATCTGTTTTCTTGTGGACCTTTTAAGTCGTAGTATTGATATAATCCCTCTTCCACAAGACAACACTTTAAATATTTAAAGATAATTTTTATCTTCCTTCCCTGGATGTTTTTTTCCAGACTAAATACCTCCAAATCTGATTACCTTTCTTCTTATAACATGGTTTTAAGTTCTCTCTCGAGCTACAATCTTGCTTGTCTACGTGCCTTTTAAAAAGTGATGCTATTTGGTGATCTAACAAGTATGATTTCCTTTAATTTGATGTGATGTAAACAAGAGGTTACCTAACTTGTATATAACATATCTGTATTTATTAATGCCTACTATTTATGTAAAAGAAATGTAAGGCAGATACCTGCTCTCAAGGAGTTGAGCATCTATTTAGGGAGAGAGAATTAACACATCTGAAAAACTGGGCAGGAGTATCTACCAGTGTAAGAAGTAAACTTTGAGGTTCAAGTTCCCCAAACTTAAACAAATCCCCAAACTCATGAAAATCACTGCAGCACGTAATGTATAGAGACAGTTTATAGAGAGGTTCTGTATATATGTTTGTGAGTAAAATTTCTTATTAGCTAGAGTTCTTTTGAGCCAATTTAATCAATCAGTTTTACTTGTTCTGTATGGGTCATATGGCATTATTTCCATGCAGATCCAAGAAGATACCAAATCTGATAATCAGCTCTTGAATATAGATGTTATTTTCTAGGTAAAAACTGTGACTTTTTCAGATTTCTTTATGTTTTCTTCTTTTCCATCAAAAGCAGGAGAATTTTGGATTTTGGGTGACTTATTTTTCAACACCATCTCTCAAATTATTTAAAAAATTTTTAATTTTCACTCTAGGACATGTCATTGCATATGTGATTACAGAGAAAAAATCATTTGAGATATGAAGATGTTAGACTCTCAGTTAGATTCACTCACTATCTTAAGGAAGATACACAAATCAGATTCATGTCCCAGAAAAATTATAAGTTATGTTATGGGAACCAAGGATTACTCCTGAATATTCAAAATTGTCTTGAATTATGAAGTAGTGAAGGGTGTGGGATGTAAATCATAATTACATTGCTAAGTGAGAGGAAGGAGAAATGACCGAGTCAGTCACTGAAAACCAATTCAAATCAGTGGGCTTTGAAGAATGGGAAAAATTAGAACAAGAATTTTTTGTTTTGTTTTGCTTTAAACAGCATTCAAGAAAAGTTTATCTTTTTTTAAAAAAAAGTATAGGATAGAAAATTATATTGTACAAAAATTAATTTTTAGATTATTGCTAATTTATAGGGGAGAAACTTTTCCCATTGATTTGAAATTATGGAAAATTCTATTTCGACAGATGTCAGAAAAATTTGCACTAATCCATGTGCCCATGGAGTAACTGCAACTTTGATGTAGGCAATTGAAAGCATAGAGTTGGAAGTCCTGTGTGCTTGAGTGAGCAGTGCCAGAAAATGTACAGAACTACAGTATGACTTTGACTGATAACATTTTCTCCTACTATTCATTTGTTCATTTCCCCTTTAGGAAGCACTTAGGACACTGTGCTATGAGTTGGGGACCTAGAAGAAAAGGACTAAGTCCCTGATTCAGGGAACAGATTAGGGGACAAAAAGATCCAGAGGCGTGATGATTTTTTAGGTACCTGTGAGCCACGCCAGTTAAGATGCCCAGCAAATACCGCAGGATCTGCAACCTGGAGTCCTCATTCTTTAGCATTTCTGTTAGGTGAGAGAGAAGGCTGAGTAATTTAGGGAAAAAAGATTTTAAGATTGGGCTACTGGTATATATTATTGGTTAAGTCTTTATTATTAACAAATATCCAGAGACAAACATTCAGCAGATGAATGGATTATGCCAGATATTCATTTGACTTTTTTTTTTTTTTTGAGGAAGATTAGCCCTGAGCTAACATCTGTTGCCAATCTTCCTCATTTTTGATGGGGAAGATTGGCCCTGGGCTAACATCCTTGCCCATCTTCCTCTACTTTATATGGGACGCTGCCACAGCATGGCTCGACAAGCGGTGCGTAGGTCCACACTCGGGATCTGAACCTGCGAACCCCGGGCCGCCGAAGCAGAGCATGCAAAATTAACCACTACACCTCTGGGCTGGCCCCCCGTTTGACTTTTTAAATTATTGGTGTTTTTAACTGGATTCATAAAGTTTGTTAAAAAGAATTAAAAATGTACAGTTACCTTTAGGATCAAGAGAGTAAGTTCAGTGTACCGTTAACTGAGGAATTCCCTGATCACAGCTAGTGCTGGACTTACACTTAACCATTTGCAGTTTGAATTTCCCTTGTTCCTTGAAAGAGTTAGGACACAAGTAAGCTATTCTGTTATGTGCACTTTTCAAATATTATTTATGCCGAGTCTTAGTTATCCTTGGGGAAATGCCTGTCTACCTTGGAAAGGACTTCGAGGCTAACCAGAAGTTCAGTATCATCTGGTATATCCAGAGATGAAGAGGAAGCATGGCAGTCATTGAAGTAATATTAAGCCAATCGAAATTTGGCATTCGTTCACATTCCCCATGGAAAATAAATAAAAAATAAATCAGATCATGTTATAGCTCTTACCACCGTTAAAGCCCTCCACTGGCTCCCCGTTGTACTTATATCCAAACTTCTTACCCTGGTTTAGATGACTGCTTCCCTTTCTGGCTCCACCTCTCAGTGTGCTTCAGCCCTTTTGGCCTTTCTTCTCTTTCTTGAGCCCGACAGGCTCTTTCCCACTCAGTTTTGCCCTCGGGTCTTTGTACCACCTCTTCCTTTTGTCTGGATTGTCTTCTCCCTGAAACTTTGCATTGGCTCTTTCAGGTCTCAGTTCAGATGTCACCTCCTCAGAGAGGCCTTCACTACCCTACCATGTCAAATGTACCCTTCTGCAAACACATACCTGGTCATATTCCATAACTTGACAGTCTTATATGGGATTCATAACAGGTTTCAGTACCAGAAGTTATCTTATTTACCTTATTTGTTCTCTCTCTCCGACACCACCCTCAGGAAAACATCAACTCTGTGAAGACTGGGATCTCATCTGTTGGTTTGCCACAATATACCCAAAGCCTAGGTTTTTGTGAACATTGAATTAGTTAATTCATGTAACTCTCTCAGAAAGGAGCTGGTATATTGTGAGCACTCATCAGCTGTTGTTGTTATTGTTGTTGTTACTGTAAGTAGTAGTAGTGCTAGTATATTTAGGCATTTATATAAACTCAATGGAAAAATGTATCTTGAATAGATTCAAGATAATACCTAATGAAAAAACTGAGTACTGTAGGATACGTTATAAGTATAAAGCATTTCTATTTTTATAGGATTGAAAAAGTGAAAGTCAAAATAATAGTGCTCTGATGGGAAATTTTTTCCCCATGTTTTTCGCTGAAGAGTTTAGACAATTGTTGTCAGACCATCAGAGGACAGAGCTGGGAATCCTCAAAAACACGTCCATTTCCTAAAATTGTGTACCAGTGGGGACATGGGGTTGTATTTTTTGAACTTTTCAGTTTAAAGCCAGTTTTGCTGGAAATGATTGCTCCTAGATGTTGGATTAAAACTACTTTTTTTTTTTTTTTTTTTCTGATCTAGACCTTGCAAAAAGTCAGGCAACACAGTATGCACGTGGATGATGTTCAGTGTTGTGTGCTTCACTGTATGGCCTTTTCCTTGGTGCTGTCACTTGAAATAAATGTATATTTACATAGCATTCTGTGTCTCATGAGTTAGTCTGCCTTTTTTCTCTTCTGTGACCACAGGTGACAGTTAACCTCTTCCAGATGCAGCACCTGCAGGCTGCCTCCCTCGCAAGCAGTTTGCAGTCTCTCTGTGATAGTGCCAAACTCTATGACCCTGGCCAAGAGTACAGCGAGTTTGTCAAGGCCACAAATTCAGCTGAAGAAGAAAAAGTTGATGGGTGAGAATTAATGTACAGATGAAATTATTTCAAGAGAGAAAACCTTTATTGCTAAGTTCCTATCTGGTATAAGGCAGTGACTTTCCTAACATTGGCAGAATGGGCTTTAAAACTTTCTGAATTTTTTAATATTATTAAAGATGTAATTTAAGAGTAAAGCTTTCCATTTCGACAAGAGCTCAGTTCCTTGAGATTTAGAAATCCTTTGAGAATGGCAAATTATGATCGTATCTATTTTTATTGTTCATAAATTTGACCTACATTTTCCACAGAGGTTATATTAGAAAAGTTTAACCATGACATGAATTATTGACTATACTTTCACTACTCTTTTCCATGTTTCAGCTGTAATAAGTACAAATGATTAATAAGTTTTATTCAAATCTCCTTTAAGAAGTTTAGCCACATAATATAGTTTGTTCTTAATATTTAGTTAATTACTCTGTTTATTAAGTTAACAGATTTTTCTGAAAATAGAATAAAATAAGCTGATTATTAGTCATTCTTCTAAATGATGACTTTTATTTGGGTTTTTCTTAGGAGTGTAAACAAACAGTTAACAAATAGTCCCCACGCTTCTGGATATGGACCTACCGACTCTTTGGAGGATGTTGTGCGCCTTCCTGACAGTTCTAGTAAGATTGAAGAGGACAGATGCTCTAACAGTGCAGATATAACAGGTAGTTTTTCACATTAAAGAGAGCACTAATTTATGAAAGATCAGATTGTTTAAATGTGATTTTAACATAAGATGCAGCTCTGGAATTTAATAATCAGGCCTTGAGTTGTAACTTTTTTAGGCTTTATTCACAGTTGTAAGCACTGTGCCTGTCTTAAAAAGTTGATAGTTGATCACTGTTAAAGAAATTTGACCTCTCTCATTTTATGTAATGTCAATATTTTGCCTTAAGAAATCCGTCTTTAGCCAAATTTTGACATTAAATATTCTTCTCTTAAAGGTCCTTCTTTTATAAGGTCATGGACATTTGGGATGTTTAGTGACTCTGAGAGCACTGGAGGAAGCAGCGAATCTAGATCTCTGGATTCAGAATCTATAAGTCCAGGTATGTAAGTATTTAAGTCTAGCATTGAAAATGCAATGAAAGATTAAAGTATTCCTTTTGGGGGATATTTTTTAACTACCTTATTTTTATAATGAACTGTCTCACAGAGAGGAGTATATACATATATATGTACAGTTTAAAGAAAAATAACACAAACCCTCATGTATTCACCACCCAGCCTAGAAATAGAGCATTATCAGTGTGTTGGAAGGCCCCTCTCTGTACAGCTCCTTGATACTGTTGCCCTATCTCCCACCAGAGTAAACCATCATCCTGAATTTTGTTAATCATTCCCTGGTTATTTTAAATGTGTTCGACCTATATCTAGTTGAGCTTTGCCCTCTTTTGAATGTTATACAGATAGAATCATACTATTCTTTTGTGACTTCTTTATGCATCTTTTTTTTTGTGATCCACATTGATGTGAGTAGTCATCTTTATTTTATACTGTATGCTGTATAGTGTTCTATTCTATAAACATAATTATCATTATCTATCTTTTGGATTGTTTTTTGTAGTTAATTGCTATAATGAACAGTACAGTTAACACCAATTCTTGTGCCTCTGATTACTTATTAATTTTTTACAAATGTCCTTTAAGGTACTTTGATATAATAGTCTCGTGCTCCTTAGAGACGCAGAGTAGGTGTTTTGAACTCTCCCTTAGTGGCTTCAGAAAGGATAGCTTGCCATTTGTGACCACATCGATGGACATTGAGGGTATTATGCAAAGTGAAATAAGTCGGAGGGAGAAGGTCAAATACTGTATGATCTCACTCATTAAGTAGTAAATAATAACAACAAACCAACACATAGAGACAGAGATTGGATTGGTGGTTACCAGAGGGGAAGTGGGGAGGGAGGAGGGTGAAAGGGATAATTAGGCACATGTGTGTGGTGATGGATTGTAATTAGTATTTGAGTGGTGAACATGAGAACATGATGTAATCCATGTGGAAGTAGAAGTATAATGGTGTACACCTGAAATTTATACAATGTTATAAACCAATGTTACCACAGTAAACCAAAAAAAAAGAAAGGATAACTTGCCATAGGTTATACAGCTAGCAGGAGAAGAAGGTAGCACTTGAACCCATGAGGTTCTTCGACATTCTTTCTTTCTCCTCCACTCTTCTAAGAACGACTGTTTCAGTCTTATTCTTCCTGGCTACGTTTCTTTCTCCTAGGATATCAGCTGTGGAGGGTGCATTATAGGATTTAACCTGCCTCAGAGTCCAAGGGTTTTTTGTTTGTTTGTTTTTAGTGTTCTACATATTACAGAAATTTTATTCACGTAAATAAACGTCTTGAATTCAAAGTTAGAATTAACTTCCATGCAGCACTGGGGTTTGTAGGCTTACTTTGTGTCTTCCTTTAAAACTAGCTCTGTTCAAGGGACACCTTGGAGATGTGAGCCTAAATATTTAACTGAATATTTGTGAATAGCTTTGTAAGAACAAGATGGTTCTAGCTATCCACTGAAATAAAGGCCCAATCTAGAGCAAGCCCTAAATCACTTGGGATCATGTGAGACTTCATGTGATAAAGACAAACATTTGGAACCTAGTCACGTGATAAATGGGTGAAGACTTGAGGATGCTCAGCCCGGAAAAGAGGAAACTTGGGGGCATGACCGCTGTCCTCAAATATCAGAAGTGAAAAGGGATTCGAGTTAGAGTGCTTGTTTGCTCCTTTAGCTCTTTTAGGGAAAAGTATAACCAAAGGCTGGGATTTATAAGGAGGCAGAGTCTGTTCAATAATATAAGGAAGCCATTTTACAATTAGAGTCGTCCTACAGTGGAACACGTGACCTCATGATTTCTCAGTCGCTGGGAACACATTCAAAGCAAAAACTAGATGACCACCTTTCAAGCATATTTTGAGGAGACATATTTTTTGGGAGAGGGTATTGGTTTAAATCATTTGTAAAGCCCTTTCTAACTCTGAACCTAAGACTGTTAAGGCCTCGAGTTAAGTGAATTCTTCCGCTTGGATATAGCCCTGTTTCTAACATCAGCAGGGAGCAGATAAACCTCATTACCTAGCGGGGCTGCTTCTGAACGTTCTTTGATACACACAGCGGAGTCCTTTGCTGACAAAGCTGCATCCTGTGCTCTCGGCTCCCTGCCAGGGATCATTGTTCCTGCTTCCCAGTCTCCTGTCTTACTTGTGAGATAAATGTGGTGTTACTATTGTATTGCTGTATTCTAGATTTTTGTATATTTTAGGAAGCTTTAGGGTACATTGTATACATTCATTTATAACTTAATTCAGCAAGCATTTAATGACAACTTTGCCATTGTGTCAGCCACTCTGTCAGATATTAGATGTGAATGTGAGTAGAAAATCCTCCCCGTCCTTGTAGAGCCTACAGTCTCTGATATTTACTCTCAGAAGTTAGCAGTAAGGTCTCATTGGGATGTATGATCCATACTTTGTGTAAATTTATTAGGAAATGTCAGATTTGGTTAAATTCTCTTTTGTTCCCTGGAATAATATCAGAATTCTGTGTATCCAGAGTCTAAGAATGGAAGCAGATTTTTACATCGTAGCTAATAAAATAGTATGACTTGTACTATTCAAAAAATGTTATTACCCATTTCTGAAATTCTACAGTGAATGGTCAGGTAACTGTATCCACAATTTTCTTTTAGGAGACTTTCATCGAAAGCTTCCACGAACTCCGTCCAGTGGAACCATGTCTTCTGCAGATGATCTAGATGAAAGAGAGCCACCCTCCCCTTCAGAAGCTGGTATTGCACTTGTCTTAATCAGTATCACTGCATGATATTAGGAAAATAGTATGATTTAAAGAATTGCTTTGCTGTATTAGGCATTATAATGACTTAAATATATCCCAACAAATTATGTATGTGTGGATTGATAATTTATTAATCAAATATTATGAATACAAATATAACAATAAGCAGCAAAACTACTTTATCTAAAATGTATTAGCATGGTGCTAAAATAGGCTAGATATTTTGATCTTTCATAAACCTAACAGTGACTTAACTGTTGAGAGGGTTGCAGTGCGTAGAAATTCTAAAAAAGCCTCTTCAAAAGAAACAGTGCAAGAAGCTAGGCAGGAAAAGTAAATAAGTATACTTTTTGAGGACAAGGAAAGTTGTGGATGTTGAAGGATCTGAAAGAGAAGTCAGTTACCTTAATGACTTAAATTAGACTCATACAAGTTAATTTTTTTACATTTGAGACCTCCATACTCCTCTGTGGCATCACTTCCTAAAATAATGTGTAACATCTGACCTCTTGTAGGATATTGATATATAACTAGCTAGTGTTATCTATAACTTTATAATGAATTAAGAATACCTTTTTTCTTATTACGTATAATGCTGACACACAAACCTCGTGTGGCTAGTTTTCTTTGAAGCTTTTATAGGAGCATTTTCAAAGAATGTAATTCCACCTATGTAACACTTCCCAGCTGTCTAAAGGGCGTATTAATAACTGTACATTGGCTGATTCTGAAAACATTATGCCATGCTATTTTAGAAGTATGTTACTGATTTGATGGTGATTTTTACTCAAAGCTAAAATGTTGTTTGAGAAATGTGCCTCATAAGAGATCTATAAATTGGATGCTTATTTTGATGTTAACAGACTCAAAATAATATATGAATGATTACCAAGTCTAAAGATTTTTCAAAATAACTATCATATGCTATAATTTTTCTGTCATCTTACAATTCTTATATACTAACCTATTTCTGTTGCAAGGACCCAATTCCCTTGGAACGTTTAAGAAAACATTGATGTCAAAGGCAGCTCTCACTCACAAGTTTCGTAAATTGAGATCTCCCACGAAATGTAGGGATTGTGAAGGCATCGTAGTATTCCAAGGTGTTGAATGCGAAGAGGTAAGATCTTTCTGGAATTACATTAGCCCCTGTATGCTTTTTGCTTTATACTTTTTTGTTATTAATTTTACTGATTAGGATCTTTTGCAAATGTATTTTTAGTAAATTGAACCACAGATTACATTCTATAATTTTATATTTCATTTTGCTGTTAAATGTATTTTGAAGACCACAAGTAACACCTTTTAAACTCATTTTTGTCATGTTACCACTCTATCTATAGTTTTCTCAGTTGTGAATAGTTTTAAGGTGAGTTAACCAGTTTTAAACTATCATTTTCTTGTAGTGTCTCCTTGTTTGTCACCGAAAGTGTTTGGAAAATTTAGTAATCATTTGTGGTCATCAGAAACTTCTGGGGAAAATACACTTATTTGGAGCAGAATTCACACAACTTGCAAGAAAGGAACCAGATGGCATCCCTTTTATACTCAAAATATGTGCCTCAGAGATCGAAAATAGAGCCTTGTGTCTACAGGTACGTTATAATTCTTAAGACTAAAATTTTAAAAAGATAAATGCTTGTGTGATTTGTTTTAAAGACGAGGAGACTTTAAAGGAAAGCAATGTTCTCAAATTTTAATAAGTAACTGAATTTATTCAGATTTATTTGGAAAATATTTCTTCATTTTGCCCTAATTTTTTTCTGAAATTTTAATAAAAATTGAAGTATATACATCAAATATATTTACATGTCTGCATTTAGCTATTTGTACTAATGTAGAATTTTGCAAAAATTTTCCCCTTTCTTCTTAAGGGAATTTATCGTGTATGTGGAAACAAAATAAAAACTGAAAAACTGTGTCAAGCTTTGGAAAATGGAATGCACTTGGTAGACATTTCAGAATTTAGTTCACATGACATCTGTGACGTCCTGAAATTATACCTTCGACAGGTAAAGTTTTTACCTTTGAAACTGTCATTAAATAGAAAAGAGCAAATATATGATTTGTATTTTGCTGATAACATTTGCTACACGTATTTTCATTGACGTAGAACATATTGATATCTTTCCAATTTTAATGTACAGATCAAAGAGTGTATAAAATAGATGTACAGTTTAAAGACCAATAATAATAAAAGCAAACACTCCTTTCCCATCACCTAGCTCAAGGAACTAGAACATTACTGTTCCTTATAGAAGGCCCTTGTGTGCCCTCCCCAGTTGTAGCCCACAACCTCACCCCAGTGGTCTTTCCTAATAACTCCTTCTCTTCTTAATAGTTTTAATACCTGTTGTGTAGTCCTAAACAGTGTATCATTAAGTTTTGGAAAACCGAGTGGAAAGCGTAAATCTAGCTGTATAAGGAAACACCATTATTCATGCTGTTATATGAAGGATTCAGTAAGTAGAATAGTGTTGTAAGTAGCATAGTGTCTGGTTTATGGTACAGCTTTACCTTCATTGATATTTTAGAACAGCTGTTGTGAGAGGTGGGCAAGGTCATGAATGCATCCTGGAAGTTCAACATATTTGGGGCATCAGGTAGGGCTGTCCTATAAGCTGGGTACTGGAAGTTCAGGAGGCATATGATTGGAGAGTGAGCTGCTCTATATTTTCTCTTTCTGTGCTTACTCTTATTGCTGCAGTTTACAGGAGTAGGTCCAAAGAAAACAATTCTATGAGGTGAAGTAAAGGCCTTAGTGGCTTCAGGCAGCAGCTCATGGAGGGCTTGCAGGAACAATCAGCACATTGTCACGATGAGCCAAGTAGAAAAAGATCTGGGCCAAGCCCATCTGCATTCTCTCCTGAGGTGAAGGTGAAGAGACAGTTACAGCATGCAGTGACGATGGTCCTCAACAGGTCCATCTCTGGAGTCCTGCTCTCCATCTGGATCCTTTTTAATATGATGAATAGCTGTCATCCTGGGATCTCCACCCTCTTCTCTTTTGTGAGGGAACACCTGTCTTCTGTGTCATGTCTTCCTGTTTTTGGTTTATTCTCCTGTTTTGGTCATGCACATCCTTGAGCAAGGTGGAATAAGAGTCAATATTTGAAGCCTTATTTATCTGTAAGTGTCTTTGTTGTATTCTAGGCTGGAAATGGTTTTTCATCAGAATTTTGGAGGCATTTTTTTGTTGTTCTCTTTGAAGCCTGAGATCCTTCTTATTCCTGATTCTTTGTATGTGGCTTGTTTTCTTTCTGAAAGCTTGTAGTATCTTCTTTTTCCCCCATTATCCTACAATTTCACAGTGATATTCCTTGATGTGGGTGCATTTTCATCCACTGTTTCGGGCACCACACAAGCCCTGTCATTCTAGTTACTTGGCCTTTAGTTCTTGGAACTTTTATTTTGCTCATTGTCTCCCCGCCCTCCATCTTCTCTGTATTTTCTTTCTGGAACTTATGTTTGGATACCTGACAACTTGTACTGGTTCTCTAGTTCCCTAACCTTTTCTCTGTTATTTATTCCTTTTTTTGTTTTTGTTTTATACTTTCTAAGATATTTCCTCAGCTTTATCTTCCACCCCACTGTAAACTATTTCATTTCTGAGATCGTGTTTAATTTCTAAGAACTCTAGTTTTCTCTCTCCCTTTTATAGCATTCTTTCTTTTTTAATGAATGTAGTATCTTATCTACCTGACGATATTCATAGCTTTCTTTTAAAAGGGTTCTTTTCTCTGCTTAGCTTCTAGCCCTGTCTAATATAAATATACTGTGAGCCCTGTATATAGTATTAAATTTCCTAGTGGCCACATAAAAAGAATAAACAGGGTGAAGTTAATTTTAATATTTTGGTTAACATAATGAAAATATTATTTGAACATCTAATCAATATTTTTAAATTACTAATGAAATATTTTACTTTTTTTTTTGGTACTGAGCCTTTGAAATATTGGTGTGCATTTTTCTTTTAGAGCATGTGTCAGTTTGAACGAGCCACATTTCTAGTGCTCAGTAGCCATATGTGGCTAGTGGCCACCACATTGATAGCACAGGTCTAGACCTTCAAGTTGGTTTTGTTCTGCCTGTTTGACTTGTCTTCCATGGTTGTCTGCTTAAAATGATAAAGTTGGGAATTTAAATCTCTTTGGAAGCTCTTGAATACATGAAGGCTATGAAGATTTGAGCTTATTGTAGTATGATATAGGTGGGCTGTTTGGGAAACACCTCTGTCTGCATCCCTAGGTCTCTGCTCTTGGCCTGGTCTGATACCCCAGAGAAGGGTCTTTCCCTGCCTAGAGGTATGGTGCCAGAACCCTGGGGGCCAAGTACAGTAGAAGGCTCCAGCATTTGGGCGTGCATGCAGTTGCTAAATCCCTATTTTTAGGTAGTTGCCCACCTGTTCCTTGTGTTGGCATTGCCCATCCAGAGACCCTCTGTTTTACACTGCCTAGAGAAGAAATCCCCAGACTTCGGGGAAATAGTAGCCCAGGAGCATCGAATGGAGACAAGGATCTAGAGATCTAATGCTTCTTGGATAGCCCACCCTCCCCCAGGATTAGAGGACCTACTGCTGGCAGTCCCTGAGTCTCCTTAGGATCCTGTAAATCATGTTGGGTCTCAGTTTGGGACTTCAGCTTTCTCAGGACTGCTGAATCAGCTCTTGTTCATGTGCTGTTCAGCTTGTGAAATGTTGCTTTTGTCTCTATTCCTCTTCTCCCAGTCCTTTGGGCTTAACTGTATATCGGGGGGTCACTGGAGGGAAAAAAATTAGGTACAAATGTTGGATCTGCCATGTTAGCCCAGGAAACTATTGATATCTCTTTAATCACATTTTGCAGGATTCTCATCTGAGAAATGGAGGCCAAGTACCTTTGGGTGACTGTTAATCTCACAGTAAATCATCCTTTATCTCTTCTAGCCAGTCAGGGAGAGGAAATGTATGGGGTCCAAGCTATCAGTTCTCATTCTGTCTCAGGAATGCTGTGAGACCAAGACTTTAGTGTGGGAAGCCATGCTCAATTCTTACTGTATTAGAGAGTAGCCTTCATTTTCCTCATGTACCATGTAGCAAATCTGAAGCTCCAAGAGGTATAGTGAACTCCTTCAAATCCCGGAGTGGTGGAGGTAGAAACTGATCTCAAAGCGTCCCCTCTCTGGGACCAGCCAGAAAAACTGGAGAAGCAGGAGCCTACCTCACACAGATAGTATAGGACATCAGCTAACCAAAGGTACCCTGTATTTTCCATCACTGAGCAGTGGAAACACTGAAATCAGTTATACTTGTAGACAAATCAAGGTGGCACATTCCCTTTGATAGTTTGATAGAGGAACTTTTTCTTTGGATCTACTTATGGCAATTCAAGTTGTATATAAAAATTAGATAAATAAAATGTTGACAGTTTCTTTCTTGTAAGCCATATTGTGTTTTGCTAATCTTCAATCTGACCCAAGTAAAACACAAGGACTCTGTAGCATTTTGTTCTCTGTCTCCCCCATGCCAGTAAATTCAGAATATAAGCCTTTTCTAATTAATTTGACTTATTTTGTGCATTATCCTGCATTCGTTTCCACAGAACAGCTGAAGATCTTGTTAACTTTGGGGCAGTCATGAATGTAATTGGTATAGAATGCATATGAGAATTTTTAAGTCTCATTATGCAGCTTTAGGTTTAGAGTTTTTACTGATTGTTAACTGTTAACTCATTTTTTAATATAGATATAATTTATGATGATGATGTCAGATTCAATTTATAGATCACATCTGTAGCAAATATCTGTACATTTCTAAACGTGGATTGACCTTAAGTCTTGTTAATGTAAAAAAACATGCTAAACCATTCAGTAGCTATTCAGTAGGTTAATATCAGGGAAAAAATGGACAGAATGATATTCCTAATGTAATTTTGTTTCTTTAGCTCCCAGAACCATTTATTTTATTCCGATTGTACAAGGAATTTATAGACCTTGCAAAAGAGATTCAACTTGTAAACGAAGAACAAGAGACAAAAAAGGATAGCTCTGAGGACAAAAAATGGCCGAATACATGCATAGAAATAAACCGAATTCTTCTAAAAAGCAAAGACCTTCTAAGACAATTGCCAGCATCAAATTTTAACAGTCTTCATTACCTCATAGTACATCTTAAGCGGTAAGAACTTTGTGCAAGACGAGCATCCATTAGTGGGTGGATGATTGATCAGTTTTTTGTTTTTGTTTTTTTGATTTTTAAAAATTGTGGTAAAATACACGTAACATAAATTTACCATTTTAACCATTTTTGAGCGTACAGTTCAGTAGTATTAAGTACTAACTTAATTCACATTGTTGTGGTGGTGTTTTTAAAATGAACGTTTCATATCTCATATGTATTAGGGAAAAGGAGACAATGAATCTGTGTTCATGTAGCCAAGATTTTTCCCGCAGATGCCTCCTATGTGCCAGGCTCTGGCTGGGGAAACAAGGATGAAAACGAGATTTCTGCCATCTGTTGTGCTTGTCAGCTTGAGGGGCAGACCTGCCACAAGTGCAGTGCAGCGTCATTCTTGTTCTAACAGAGCTGCGCACAATTCGTAGAGGGAGATGGGGAGGGAGGGTCGTGAATCAGAGAAGGTAGCTCTGAGCCAGACTTGAAGAACTCAGAAGTGGTTTGGTGGCAGAGAATGTGCAGAAGAGCATGCCTGGCAGAGGGTAACAGACACAGAGACATAGGAGATCATTTTGCGTTTGGGAATTTGGTTAGGCTGGGATATAGCAAGCGGGAGCGGGAAGTGAGCTAGGTAGAGGCCCGATGAAGAAAGTCTTACATACCTGGCAGATGAGTTGACTATCTTCCTTCTGTACCCAGTAAAGAATTTTGAACCAGGAATTTAACATGCTCGGATTTGCCTGTTAGATCTTTCTGGCAGCAATATGGAGAATGGGTTGGAGGGGAGGGCTTTACTGCATTTCAAAACTCCTTGAATAGTCATAGAAATAAAAGAGGATGAGAGCTTGAAGTAAGGTCAAAGCAGTGTGGGTGGCAATAGAACAGAGATCTTTAGGAGGGAGACTCAACTAGGCTTGAAGACTAGCTCTGGCAGTGAGAGAGAAATCAGCAATGATGTTTGTTTCCAGCATAAGGACCTGGGAGGATGTACTGTATACTAAGAGGGGAGCAGGTTTTAGGGGTATTTTTTTTATTTCCGCTGGTAAAACTGTAGTAGTTCCTGCTACTTACTTCAATTTTATCCTACTACTGTGAAACCCAATTTGGTGTGTGGTCAGTATTTAATCAAATAAATATATCCTTTTCCTAGACTTCTGCAGCCCATTTTTTCTGTACCCTTCCCAATCCATGGTAAACTATTATCAAGGAAATCTAATAGGGAAATCTCATACAACTTTATGTGTTCTACTTCTCAGAGTCGTAGATCATGCAGAAGAAAACAAGATGAACTCCAGAAACTTGGGAGTGATATTTGGACCAAGTCTCGTTAGGCCAAGGCCCACAACTGCGCCTGTCACCATCTCCTCTCTTGCTGAATATTCAAATCAAGCACGGTTGGTAGAGTTCCTCATTACTTACTCGCAGAAGATCTTCGACGGGTCCCTACAACCACAAGATGTAGTTGTGTATAGTACAGGTGGTGTGACACCCCAGGTTGATCAAGGCTGTCTTCAGAAACCTCTGTTATCACCAGAAGAAAGAGACCCAGAACATTCCATGAAGTCACTATTTTTCTCTTCAAAGGAAGTGAGTTTTGACCTTTATGAAATTGTGTTGGAACTTTGTAATGTTTATGTTAATAAGTTAAAAATCTTTGAACTGTTTATTTTGAGGTGTCATTAGCCTTCTTCAAGTTTAAAAATTCTCTTCCATCAACAGGATATCCGTACTGCAGACAGTGAAAGCAGAATTTTTGAACGAGCTAAATCATTTGAGGAATCAGAACGAAAGCAAAATGCATTAGAAAAATGTGATGCATGTCTCATAGGTGAGTGGCCTTGTAAAATACATGTTTACTGACTTAAAACTGTGCCAATAAACCATAATTAAGAGCCAAAGAGGAGTGGAGTGAAGTGAGTGGAGTTGGGAGGAGTCAGAGAAGGAAGCTTCATTAGTAAACGCATCTTTGCTGGCCATCAAGCAAGTTGCCTGTTAGTGTACCTTGCATTTAAATGAACGTCATTCTTCACAATAACCTTTCTTATAAAAAGACATATTGAAGTTCATAGGTGTTTTTTGTGCTCTTTCTGAAATATTTTTTTTCTATTTATTTTTGCCATCAGTTAAAGTCAAGGCAGGAATGTGTTGAGCAGTATGATAATTCATTAGCATCTCGGTTGCTAGAGATCGTTGTATTAATCCAACTGCTCATAAAGAGTAAACTAGACTCCTAAAATTCAAAAAATTTAGACTCCTAGAACTCTTAAAATTTTTTTCAAATTCTTTTACTTGTCCCCTGCCTTTAACACATTAAGCACACATATGTGTGTGTCTTTATTTCATTGACTGTTGTCATTTTATTCACTGTATGATAAGTTTAGTTGCAGTGATGGTAACTGTCAAGCTGGTGGAAAGGCTTCCATTTGTTACTGTAATTCTATACATTACTAGAGCTAAATTCCAATTTTTTTAAATGCAGCCATATATGCTAAATTTGATGTATAATCAAATATCAGTGATCGTAGCTTGACAGGGTCTAAAAGAAATAAAGGAGCTAATGTTTGTTAAGTACTTGCTGCTCTGTGCTAAGCATTGTGCTTATCGTTTGATTCCTTTTGTCTGATTTGATCTTCATAACAGTTTTGGGCTATAAAGTAGGTAGTATTAGCCCCATTCAACCCATAGCCTAATAGTCTGAGAGAGGTTAAATAATGCCAGAGATCAAGCTCCTAATAAATTGTTCAGTCAGTAGTTGAACCTATGTTTGTGCTTATTTCACTATCCCATGACCCAGTGCTCCCAACTAGGAATACATAGTAATAATAATAACTGTCAGTTTTTGAGTGCTTATTATAGATACACCAGATAATTCTAAGCACCTTTGGTGATTCGATCATGTAGGCCACACATCAACGTAGATACAGTTGTGATTCTTTTCTCACAGGTGAAGACACTCAGGGACAGTGAGGTTGCCTTGCCCAGTACAAAAGTGGTAGAGCTGAACTAACCCCAGCCACTGGGTCTCAGAGTCTGCTCTCTTATCCATTAGGCTCTAAGTTTTTCCCATAGAACTTTAAGAATATACTTTGGTGGGTCCCTACAGCCCAACCCCAAAGAATCAGGTCCCATAGAATGGTCTATAAATGTGGGGAAGGACCTGGGAAAGCAACACAAGAGAGCACTGCCCTGGAAGCCCAGGGAAGAGAGGTCAGCAGTCTCAGGTAAGGAAGAAGGTCAGATGCGATGATGAATGTCATGATCCTGATGGCACCTGTCTGCAGACCACTGCCCGAAAGAGGAGCATGAGCACAAGGCTGGAATTTTCCAAAAATGGGAATTTTTTAGGAGAGGTGCTGTAAAAAGGGACAGGGTTTGAAGGAGCTCATGGTTCTTTTTTTTTTTTTTAGAGTTTATTTATTTTCTTTCCCCCCAAAGCCCCAGTAGATAGTTGTATGTCATAGCTGCACATCCTTCTAGTTGCTGTATGTGGGACTTGGCCTCAGCATGGCCGGAGAAGCGGTGCCTCGGTGCGCACCAGGGATCCGAACCCGGGCCGCCAGCAGCAGAGCGCGCGCACTTAACCGCCAAGCCACGGGGCCGGCCCTCATGGTTCTAGTTTGAGAAAACATAGACCATAGTTCCAGACTTGATAGGAAAGAGAAGAAAATAAGTCTGGGAATAAACAGTAAATGGAGAGAATGGCATTTTTTACTTAAAATAAAACTATTCAGCCTTAATTGGACAGGATGAATGCTGTAGTCCATTAATTAGTTGATCAGATATGAAGGGCATCTAAGGCGTTTCTGTGGTATGCTCTCACTGTGGGTTGAGTATCTGAAAAGCAGATTGAGCGAGTAGGCAAAAGCCTTGGGACTCAGGGCACACCTGCGTTTGGTTGGTGTGTAAATTGGTGTCACTTTTCTGAGGTGAATTTACCAATGTCTGCCTATTGAAATCGTGACAGCTCTTTCACCCAGCAAATACTTGTTCATGCGCAGCATGTAAAAAGAAGTTACTTCAGCAAATTTTTTTACTAACCTGCAGTGGATTTTTTAGCTGCTTATTATATTGATTTAAATAAATATAGAATTCTAACATTTTTATTTATTTTATTCAAAATATACCTTTAATACTTGATGAATATTTAACTCCTCTGCCTAGATAACTGAGAATAACTTGGAAAAAATATTATTATTAACCACATGCCATAAGTTGACTTTTAAATAAATCTTTCCCTTTTTCAGACAACAAAGTGCATTTGCTTATAGACCAAGAGCGTGAATCAGCATCACAAAGGATGCAACATGTTTGTAAAACCTCCAAGCCACTTCCTCTGAAACCCGGGAGGGAAACAAATAGTGTTGAGAGGCATCTTCCAAGGACCAAGATTAGACCTGTAAGTTTGCCTGCCGATAGACTACTTCTTCTTGGAAGCCTTCCTAATGAGAGAAATGGCAGAAATATGGGAAATGTAAATTCAGACAAGTTTTGCAAGAACCCTACCTTTGAAGGAGTTAATAGAAAAGACACCCCTACTGTTGTTTGTTACAAATTTGATGGCTTTGACCAGCAAACTGTACAAAAAACTGGGGAGAAACAGTATGAACAAAGCGACCTAACTGCAAAGCCTCCAATGACTGCGCCCAGTGCATTCCAGGACAGAGTGACGACGAGCGTCAGGATCAGCGGGGAGCATCCAGTCGGTGCCACCCAGCCCAGTAAGCCGTACACGGAGCCAGTCAGGTCAGCACGACAGGTGTTGGAGAGACGGTCCTCTGACTCGTGCCCTCCTGCTCCTGTCAGAGCACCCAGAACACTGCAGCCCCAGCACTGGACGACGTTTTATAAACCACATGCCCCCGCTGGTAGTGGGAGAGGGGATGAGGAGAAGCCTGCAGCAGCCTCCGCAGCCGGGCCTCCTGGCACAGCTCCCGCTCCCCAGGAGCATGCGCTGAAATCAGTTCCAAACTCAGAAAACGGATCAACCTGTGCCGGGCAGCCTAAAGAGAACTCTGAGGAGCGGGACCTGCCTGACGTGCATCCACCATGTCAGAGACCAAGGCTAAAACGAATGCAGCAATTTGAAGACCTTGAAGATGAAATCCCACAGTTTGTGTAGGGTTGTCAAAATTCAGCTTTTCTTTTTTTGTTGTTTTGTTTTGTGGTATTGTGTTCGTTTTGTGAAAGAAATTTTTGACAACAGGGCCCCTTTTGTATAGGATTGCCAAATGATGAACTTTGCTTTTTGTCATTGTACTGTGTTATCTTGTGTTGGTTATACTGAATGGTAGAATGTTTGATAGGGCCACATCTGTGCCTTACTGGAATTATCTATATTTTTGAAGTTGTGAATAAATAGGTGGACTCATTTTTTTTTAAAGTTCATTGATTTTTCCCAGAAAATGGTTCATTTAAATGCATCCCTAATATATGATATAGTTCTTAACTAATAGGTGCAATTGGGGAAAAACAGCTTTATTTTTTTGAAGTGAAACTAAGTGCTTATTTATAAAAGGAATGTTTCTGAATGCAAGTGCCCGAAAGATCTTTGGTATGATCGTTTTTTTCACACAATTTTATACTGCATCTTTGACCATTTGTGCTTTTACAGTATGTATGTAACCTTTTATTTTTCAATTGGCAATTCACTTAACTTTTTAATATTCACATAATGGCCAAAAGGCTTGCAGATCTGTATTTAATTGCATTTTAATTAATTGCCAGATTTTACATGTGGTAGTCAGTTGAATTGCACCAAGAAAATGCACTTAAACCTGTTTCTAAATTATATAGTTCAGTTACGTCTTATTTGGCTTTAGATGGTTTTAATACATTTTATAGTTTTTCACCTCTTGACTTTGTTCTGCATAAACTTTTGTTGTTCAACAGTTCTGAACCTTTTGGTATTTTATATAATGGTCCAAAAAATGTTTTAAAATTCAATGCATTTCCTCTTGATATTGTCTCGGGTTTTTTTTAAACCATTCCTTTTGTATAAAATGTTTTCACTTGTGAATAATTTTATGTACTTTTTCTACCTGAACTTTTAACCATTGACAATGTATGTTTCATCTGAATCGTGCAAAGATTTATTTAAGTTGATTCTAAGAGTATAGTTCAATAAGCCTCATTGTTTGGAATTTGAGAGAAGGTGTAGATGATTGAATATATTTCATTTATCAAATTCCCATTTTTTAGAACTAGTACAATTCTCTTATTTTATGGGTTTTGTCATTTTGCCTAAAATAGGATATAAAGGGACAAAAAAATAAAATAGCCTCTTTTGTATGTGTGAATTCTATTTGTAGTATATACTTTTATATGACCATGTTATAGCCCCTTGATAAAAAAATATATATATATAACCTGTTAAATTATTTCAAGTTCTTGTGATGTCTCTGAAATTGTTGCCTCTTAGAGTGTGAGACTTTAAGGGTTATTAGCCATTGGCTTAGTGGTCAGCACTTGGGCTCATACATCCCTTGACTACAATGTGGAATGCACTTTCTGGGAAGTTGTTATATTGTTCTATGTGACGTTAAGGACTAGGGAGACGTGAATAATCTGCCCTTTTGTGCTGGAGCCTTCTTTTTAGTTTGCACTGTACGAAATACAAAAGAATTGTATTGCTACAAAAACCTAAAAAGAAAATAAGAGCCAACATTTATTGAGCCCTCTCTGTGTGCCATGAACTCTGCTAAGTTCCTACATAAATTGTTTCATTTCAGGTTCACAGCAACCTATGATGGGTAAGTAAGTATTTTTTTTATTTCTGTGTTACAGATAAGGAAACAGGCTCAGTTAAATGATGTGCTCTTGGTTCCACAGGTGTAACAGTTGGAGTCAAGTCTCAGACAAAGGGCTGTCAGATTCTGATGGTTAGTGCTCTTAATGACTGTGTTAATGCTGAGGAATATCAGGTAGTGTTTAACAATAGAAAATACACCTTTTAAAAAATTTTTATTGTGGTAAAATATGTGTAACATAAATTTACCATTTTAACCATTTTTAAGTGTACAGTTGCGTGGCATTAAGTACATTCACATTGTTTTCCATCCATGACCACTATCTATCTCCAGAATTTTCTCATCATCTCATACTGAAACTTACAAAATGTACTTTTAAACTCCTTCAGTTTTCTGTTAATATATTGAGACAGCTCAGTGAAAGAATATATCATATAAGCAACTGGGCCCTCTGTTTACCCTCGCTGTTAAACCTCACAAGTGACACTTCCACTTTTGGGTCCTTTCTGCCTTTAGGGCTCTCTGGCGTCTTGTCCAGCTTAAGGCGTCAGCGTAGAGATGCTTTCTAGTTTCCTGGGGCATTATGCAAGTGTCTCCTGAGAAGGCGTTGCTACTGTTAGAGTAGCCACCGTATGCACTGTTCCCTGCTACCCAGCAATGTGGTGGTCATCATTCCTCAGGACATCGTTCTGTGACACATGGAAAGCATGTGAGCCAAGAGAAAGGGCAAGAGTGGAGGGTCCTTTTAGTGCTGCCCGACCACCAGAAAGCTTTGTGGAAAGCATATCGTTCAAGTTTCCAAGAAGTCATTGGTGAAGAGTTGATCATAACTTCCCTAGATCAGCTTGTTTTACATGCTGAGAAGTTAATTAGATTTTATGAGTATTTAAAATTATTCAGAGTGCACCATAGGCAATGTATTTCTTTTGATACAGAGATGAAGAAGATACGATCCCTATGAGGGACTTGTTGCCTAGAGATCTCAGAAGCAAATAGAATCGTACCTCACTTCCTTGGGTGACTTAATTTAAAGATGGTACTATGGCTACACTATTCCCAGCTAACATTGTGTTACTTACAATATTTGTACAACTATGAAAATCTCTTTAAATGGCAACCATTGTTTGTTTTTATGAGAAGTCATAGTTAATGTAGTTCTCTGGGTTTTTCTTTCCTAGAGGCAGGAAATTGTTTTGATGTGTTGATATGATTATATATGTAGACAATCCAGTAACATCTAGAGTTCAGCAAAGTTACTACATTCACAGTCAATATGCAGAAGTCAGTTGTATTCCTGTATATCAGCAACTAACAGAAAATGAAAGTTTCTAGAAAGATCTCTTAAACAATAGTATAAAAAAAATTGAAATACCTAAGAATAAATCTAATAAAATATATACAAGATCTTCATAGAGAAAATTTTAGACTATGTCAAGAGGCATTTAAGGAGATCTTAAAAGGAGTGTTCTATGATGTACATGGATTGGAAGCCTCAATATTGTAAAGGTGTTCATTTACCTTACATTTATTTGTAGATTCAGTGTTATCCCATCCAATATAATTTTTGAACCATTTGAAAGTAAGTTGCAGACATGATGCCCCATTACCCCTAAATACTTTAGTGATATTTCCTTAAAACAAGAACCCGCCTACATAACCATAATATGACCTCAAAATCAGGAGATTAAAATTGACATATAACATCTAATCCACAGACCCATGTTCACATTTCACTGATTACCCCAGTAATGGTCCTCTCTGCTCCAGCATCCCAGTCTTGGGTAAATGGTACATTTAGTTGTCCTGTCTCTTGTGTCCTTCAGTCTGGAAGAGTTTTCTAGTCTTTTCTTTCATGACCGTGACACTTTTGAAGAGTATAAGCCAGGGACTTTGTAGAATGTACCTCAGTTGGGATTTATCTAATGTGTTCTCATGATTAGATTCAGGATATACATTTCTGTCAGAAGCAGCACAGAAATGATGCTGTATTCTTCTCACTATATTATACCAGTAGGTACATAATGTCAAATTGTCCCATTCCTGGTGATGTTAACTTCAATCACTTGGTTAGGATAGTATCTGTCAAGTTTCTCCATTCTAAAGTTAATAAAAAGAACTTTGTGAGGAGATTATTTGAGACTATGTAAATGTCCTATTTCTCATCCAAGTGTTATCAGTTCATTTGAGTCCATTAACACTACTTGCCTGAATCAGTTATTACTATTCTGGTTGCCAAATGGTGAGTCCATCATTGCTTTATGCTTTGATTGATATTCTGCTGTAAAGAAGAACAGTCCCTTCTCCATTTGTTCATTCGTTTATTGATTTATATCACTATGGACTCATGGATTCCTACTTTATTCAGTAAACTACAATATATTACTGTCATTTATTTTGATACTGATCTTTTCCCAGATTTTGTCTATGGGAGTCTCTTTAAACTCGCTTCTATGTACTTTTGACTTTTTGAGCTCTTCTCTATTTTTTGGTATATCAAGGTGTCCAAAGCTTATTTTCTACTTTTCCCTGCCCCAGCCATTTTTCCAAGGAGCCCTGGTTCCTTTAAATGGAAGGTACTCATTGCTACTGGAAAGTCATTGGCTTTAAGCCCTATTGGTGGACAGGTGAAAGAAATACTTGTGTGTATACACACACACACAGACATACATCTATATGTATTTCTGTATGTACATATATATTGAAAACCTTGAGATCACATTGATGTCTTCAATTCTAATTCAATACTTCAGAGTTTAATCTTTCCATTGCCATATTTGTAACTCCTTTCTCTTATAGTGAGAAACCTGGCTCCCATAATCCTAAACATATCATTTGCTTACTCTCCCTTTATGTTCCAGTCTCCTGACAATGCCCTCTGCTGTGTTGGCCCACCTGGCCCCAAATATGCCACATCCTCAGCCATTGCTGTACTTGGTCCTGACCACACTGATCCTAACATGCCAGTCAAAACCCTAGCCTCAGCTACATCGAGGACCGGGCGAGCTGAATCTTTGACCCCAGTGATGTCCATCCTGACTACACCACTTGAATCCTAGGCCCTGGTCATCTAGCTGAATCCTCAACCCAAACTAGAAGGGAGGGAAGGGGCAAGTTTATGATCTTTTGATAATGAACAACTATTAAATATTTTTTTATTGAATTTACTAGGAAAAGGTTAAAAGTGAATGGTTATACATATTTATCAGAAGTGTTTAAACACAGATGGACATATTTATGAAATTTATAGGAGGTTTTAAATTATGATTTTGCTATCCCTTTTTTGTCTCAACTGTAATACTTGCAAATAACTTTTAAATATTATTAATATTTCCTGTAATAACTAAACCATATTACATAGTATGCTGTTTTTTAATGTCTTTACAATCAACCAATTTAATTATTCTGCATTTATAAAATTAGCATACTTCTCAGAAAACAGAGTACAAGAGCCTAGTTGTCTGCATTTCTGAGTTACAAGTTTTATTTGGGTTCATTGTTAGCTTTTAAGTAAACAGCAAATAAATACTAGCCATACATCACATGAAAACCTTGCTCAGGTTTCTGGATATGGTCCTGCCCACTTATTACATGATATTATAAGTCTTCCTTATAGTGTTGAAAGAGTTGGAAAGAAGAGATAGTGGAACAGTGTGAACAGACCAGTGAGCTTTTCATTGTCTAGGGAGTGCTAATTAATAAGTGAATGTGGCCCTGAAATTTAAAAATCGGAACGTAGACTAAGTGTGGTAAGATCTTATTTACAACTGTAGGCATAGAGCCTAGCATATAATTATTACTGTCTGCCAAATTAATTATCTGTTCTCATTTAATTTTACATCAGCAATTTGCTTTTGAGATCTACTTCCAACGAAATCAAAACTTTTCTGTATCCAACTATTTTCTTCAAAGTTGTGAGTTCATTTAGTCGGTTGCCAGTCAAATCAGAATGTGTTGTGATTCAACAGGAGAAAGCACTGAGTCTATGAATTCTGCATCTACAGGTGCAGATACACATTTGATAATTCAGATTTAATGAGAGTTTTAAATGATTTTTTGTTTTAAATTGGATCATAAATGTATATGTACCATTTAAAGAATAATTATAAGATGAACATCCATTTGCCCCCAACCCCCTTAATAGAATGTTAAGGAGCCACCAGGGGACTCCTCCACTGTCTTGAATTTTCTGTTAATCATCCCCTGGCTTCTTAAAAAAATTTGCTGTGTATTATTTAATTTTACCTGTTTTTTGACACTTTTACAAGTGGAATCATTGTTTGATTCTTTTGTGGCTTCTTACATTCAACATGTTTTTCAGGTTAATCCATGTAGATGTTTGTAGCTGCAAACATATTTTTTCTTTTCCCCTTTTTTAACTACTATGAAGTATTCCATTGGGTAAATATACTACAGTTCATGTTCGTCCTGCTGTTGATAGGCATTTAGGTTGCTTCCAGTTTTTTTGTCACTGAACAATGCTGCATTGAAAACTTAATCTTTTTCTTTCGCTTTTTAAAAAAACAAATCTGCTTTGTGGTCATCATCTCATTTAATATTTACCAAGGCAGATATTCTTACTTGCCTTTTTCAGATGAGCAAATAGACTTCAAAGAAGTTAAATAACAATC